GGATCATGACCTGAGCCGAAGGCAGTCGCTTAACCAACTGAGCCACCCAGGAGCCCAAATCAACTTTTAAATACACCGTCACTGTGTCTGAGTTGGGAAGAGCCTCTGTAGGAAATCATACTCTTGTTTTTTCATTTCTCTGCCAGTTTGTTCCAGGACGTGGGACTTTCTGTGTGAAGACAGCCACACTGGTCTCTGCTTGTGTGGGCCCTGCCCGCGGCTAGGACCCTGTCCCTGCTCAGCTGGCCCCTCAACCCTCCACCCAGGTCTGGACTGGCCCCAGGCCTCTAGCGTCCCATACCCCTTTACCTGCTGATGGTGATGATGACCACTGAGCATTTATCGAGCTCTGTAAGGTTACTTATTACGTACACTAATCCCGAGATTATAATACTCCTATCATCACCCCTGCAAATGAGACAGTTTAAGCAACTTGCCTGAGGTCACACACAGGATTCAAACCCGGATCTGGCTGAGCTCTCTGCTCCCAACCAGCCTACTACACTGCTCCACACATTGGCGGGTTGAGGTGGATTTTACCATCGTTAAGGTAAGCGCCACTCCACCCGGTAGCAACCACACGCTCAAAGCACCATCCCCTGCACTCATCCACACTCCCTGTGATGGGGCGGGAAGGGAAGCTGGGATCCTTACCCTGGAGCGGGGCATGTGGGGAGAAGCAGGACCGGCCTTCTGCACCCACGCTGTGAACTGGGAGCAAAGCATAGGCAGACGCGCTGCGTAACAAATACCACCGCTGGGGGCGTCTAACCCTGTGGAGGCTGGAAGTCCAAGGTCAAGGTGCCTCAGGGAGGGCTTCTCCGGAGGCCTCTCTCCTTGGCTTGAGGACAGCCGCTTCCCTGTGCGTCTGTGTATGGGGACGCCAGTCACTTTGGATTAGGGTCCACCTGAACTACCTCATTTTAACTTAATTGCACCTTTAAAGATGCTGTTTCTAAATAGTCACATCTGAGGTTCTGAGGGTTAGGACATAGGAATTTGGGGAGGCATACATTTCAGCCCCTAACACAAACCAAACAGCCTCAGGCCTCAGTGTCCTGCTCTGTGAAGTGAGTGCAAACCTATCTGTTGTTCCAACTGTATACAGTTGTAAAAACCGAGCAAGTAACCCGTGAGAAGGTGCCGTATGAATACGGGTCCTTGGTAGTAACCCATGTGCGCAAAGTCACCCAGTATGTTGGGACACAGGGAGAAGCAACTGTATCTTGTGGGAGCACTGAGAGCCAGTACTCCCTCCGACGTGACCTCAGACAGGCCACTGCTCCATGCCTCAGTTTCCCCTGCTGCACCCCCTCCTAGGGATTACGTGAGAACTGCTAATTGAGGAGCCCGCCCACAGGTCAAGTTCTCCAGAAGCCTGGCGGGGGTGGGGGGGGTGTGTGTGTGTGCTGGAGCCAGGCCTAGCAGCCCCTCAGGCCTTCCGGAGGTTTCTCTTGAACTTGTCCCCTCTCCCCAGTGCTGAGGAATATCGGCACCTCATTAACGGGTGATTTAATGCTTCACCGAAAGGCTTGTGCTCCTCCTGGGTGACCTCCCCTCAGCCCAGCCCCCTGCTCCCTAATCTGTCAGTAAATCTGCTTTCTCTATGGAAGAGGGAGAACAAGATTCCCACCAAAGTGCTTGTGGGCAGGATTGTAATTTGTCTGAAGTCGGTCCAGGGGGTTGGTAGACCGGGGGCCGGGGTGCCTTCTGAGGAGAGTCACACATGCTTCACATACCTCTGTCCCCACGCTGCGGTTTGGGAGGCCGGGACTTCCTCAGAGCCAGCCCTCCGTCCGCAGCCCACGGGGGACCCGCTGTTCCACAGGCCCAGTCAGACCCCAGGAAAAAAACCTTCCCTTTGAAGATGCAGATGTTCCCCGCCTGCAGGGGGCTGGCCCAGGGGTGTCCTGTTGGCGCATTCCTCCGCCCCCTGCATGTGACCCCGCTGTCCCCTGTGTCCTTAGGGACTCACCACAGTCTCGGCTGAGGGCCTCCTGTCTCTGCCGTTGCTCCACCAGGATGAGTCCCTTTAGACCCCGACATATCTTTGTTCCCCTCCAGAAACCATATGGGGTTTCCATTAAAACCTGCGGAATGAGAGACTTTTCAAAACGTCGCTCTGGAGTTCCAGTTTGGGCAGGTGGACACACTCCGGGGAGGATGGTGGTGATGGGTGCAGAGCCGTGGAGACGTGCCCCGTGCCGCGGGGCTGAACGCGGAGACGTGGTGCGGGCGGGAAGGCTTAGGTTCTGTATGTGCGACCACAGAACACACACAAGGCTAGCTCCTCGTTGCTGGGGTGGTGGTTTGGATAGGAGAGACCCCCCCCCCGGATTCTAGAGGACCCTGGGTGCTCCCTGCCCGCACCGCCCCTGACCTGAAGAATCCGTCCCCTCGCTCTTGATCTCCTTTGGTTCCCCATCGAACGCGGAGGGAACGGAAAGTGCATGAGGCAACGTTCCTTCCACAGGGTGGCTCGGGGCACCGGGGTGAGGCTGGGCTGCACCCCAACTTCCGGAGCCCCAGCCCCCGCTCAGCCGCACTGGTGTCTGGGAGCAGCCTGGCGACACAGGAGCGAGTGACTTGCCTGCAGTCTGTGAACCCTGGACGTGTAAAACGAGCATTTTTGTAAACAGGCTCTTGGCTCCCCGGCTGCCTGTGGCTAAGCCCTTTTGGAATCAGTGATTGAAAACATCCCGAAGAGTCCAGCTGACGCTGCTCCTTCGCATGGGCTCTGTGTGAGAGGGGGCCGGGGGGGGCCTCCCTGGAAACTGAGACCAGCCCCTTGCTCGGGGTGGGTGGGGGCTGGCAGTCAGAGCTGAGCACCCTGCTCCTGGCCCACGCATGCCCAGCAGCCCCTCAGACTGCCTGCTCTGGGTGGAGCGGAGGGCGGGGGCCCAGTAGGGTGAGCCATCGACCGGGAAGGAAGGTCCCTGTTCAACCGGAGTGGGTTTGGCCTTTGTGTAGGACTGCTCTCATTGGGGATCAGAGTTCACTGGGCAGGAAGACCAAACCACACCCTCTCTTCACCCGTCTTGCCGGGCCCCCAACATCCAGAGCAGGGAGCCCACCACTTGGGGCTGAGAAAGTCGTCTCCTGGGTCCCTTTCCCATAAAGGATTTGGGAGGCTGCACTGGGGGCCAGACCTGGGGAGCATGGGGGTCACAGCTGGGCCCAGTCCACCCTGGGCCCCGGGATTCCTGAACCACGTGGACAGAAAGGGCAGCAGGAACAGGCACCACCCAGGAAATGGGGCTACTGGCCAGAAATCCTTTCCTGAGGCTGGCCATCGTGAGCGGAGCCTCCAGAGAGAGCAGCCCCCCTCCCACCCCCAGAGGGAGCACTCAAGTGCCTCTTTATACATCAAGGAGACTGTGCATCAAAGCCAGGCGGTGTCCATCTTATTCAAAAAATAAGACAGAAAAAGTCTGTGAAGACATCTTTGGGATTTTGAAAAAGGTAGAAAAAAAAAAAAGGTGAGGCCAGGATAAGGTTAGCATCCACCGTATGACATGGGGTACAAAGTCCTGATTCTTTGCTAGAGCAGGCCTCCTGACCGGGCCCAAGCAAGCAGGGAACAGCGTCGGTGCCATGCAGAGTCCATAAGATTAAAAGAAACCACTTTCCCAGAAGGAGCCAGCCATTCCTGGGACTCAGGCCACAGAGAAATTTCTTCCATGGGTCCTCAGGACCTGTGCTGCCATCCACAAGCAGCATCCTCAACATATCCCTCTCGCAACGAAGATAACAAGTTCCCTAGGACTTTTGCTAATAACACCCCACAGGGCTAAGCTGATGGCATCATGCCAAAGTAAACTTTCTGTGGGGGCGAATATTTTCGCATTACTTGTTTACATAGGGACATGTAGCTACTTCTCGGTGAATCTAATTGGGCTGTTAAAGCAGGATTTGGCCATCCTTCGTTATCAGTATATACTAATCACAGCAACACAACTAATATTTATTGAGCAATTACTATGCCCAAAACACTGTGCTAAACCATGTTTACATGTGATGAGCTGGGCATGTTATTCTCTCTCTTTTATAGTTGAAGAAATAGATTTAAAAGATCGTCGTAACTTGCCAAAGTCACACCGTTGTTGCAAAAGACGCAAAGTGGCCCCCAACAGTCTGACTCCAGAGCCCGCACCTGACTCCTGCCTCTGGCCTTGCCGCAGTGGCTTTCCCATCTTTCTGACTAAACCTGTATGGGGTCATTATATACAACTGAAATGGCTGTGTGCTGTTGAACATCAATATTTTCTTTTAAAACAATGCTGGTCAGAGACCCACTAAATTAATTTCACAATCCCCAATGGGTCATATTTCTCTAGTCTGAAAAACAGTAGTCAACAAAGACTTAAGGAAATGTGACAGACATTGTAGACTAGTTAATCCAATTCCGGTCTGCTCCCCTGGCCTGTCTTCACCAACACATCTGGGAAACCGGCTAGTCTTTTCCCTGCCTCCCTTTCATGGACATAGCTCTGGGACACAGCGATGGGAAAAAGCTCTGGGCAATGAGATAAAAGCCAAAGACCGTTAAAAGGACTTCCAAAAAGTTTTTTCCTGTCTTGATAAAAGGTCCTTTCCTCTGGCTTCCTGCCTGGAATGAAGATGTGATGCCAGGAGCTCAGGCAGCCTTTTTGTAATCATGAGAGCAAAGCAGAGAGAATCTGGCTCCAACCTCATTAAGATGCTAAGCCAGGGTCAGCAACCATCCTTCTTGTTATGTTAGAGAAATTAGCCCCTATTTATTTTGCCAAGCTTAGGTTTTCTTTTTTAAGTTTTTAAAAGATTGTATTTGTTTGTTTGTTTGTTTGTTTAGAGCATGAGCAGAAGGGGGGGCAAAAGGAGAGGGAGAGAGAGAATCTCTGGCAGACTCCACGCTGAGCAGAGAGCCTGACATGGCACTTGATCTCATGACCCCAAGATCTCAACCTGAGCCAAAACCAAGAGTCAGATGCTCAACCGACTAAGCCACCCAGGCGCCCCTGTCTTAGGTTTTCTATTCTCACATCTGAAAGCATTCCTAAATGGTAACAAACAAACAAGCAAACAGGTAGTTCCTAATATGGACATAGTTCTGTGCTTTGTATCTGGTGAATTATTAAGAACTTGTGGGGCACCTGGCTGGCTCAGTCGGTAGAGGATGTGACTCTCGATCTAGGGGTTGTAAATCTGAGCCCCAAGTTGGGTAGAGATTACTTTAAATAAATATATAAAATTTAAAAAAAAAAGAAGAAGAACTTGCAGTTGGAAATACCAAGACAGATTTTTTTTTCCCAGGACCCTGGGATCATGACAGCAGCCAAAGGCAGACACTTAACCGACTGAGCCACCCAGGCACCCCAAGGTTCTAGAACTCTTGAGAACATCTCTGCTCTGCAGCAAGTGGGCTAATAGTGTATTCAAAGGAGGGAAAATATGTGACTTAGTATGTATTCTGTGGCCTCCTCGCCTTGTCTGGTGCACTCCAGTTGGCTAACCTTCCTGTGGTGTAAGCCACTGAGTTTGTGGTACTTGGTGTTGGCAGCCGCAGGCAAGAGATCCAGAAGGAAAGCACTACCTCTGGTAGAGAGGGGCAAAACAATTAGGTTACCAGCCGTGGCCAACTGGAACCAGGTGCCCACTGAGGCAGAGTCTTGAAGGACGGTACTGTTGCTGTCGTAAACAATTTTAAAGGGATGCAGAATGCAAATGCCATGGTGGAGAGTTGCTTCTAGAGCCCTGGGTATTTGGATACGCATCAAGATTAAATCTAGTAATTTCTGTGAACAGGCTAAAGATCTCACTGGAAACAAAGTTTGGAGACTGGTTCTGTAGGTTGCTACATGAAAACATCACTTGCATCCACAAACTACAGGTCTTTCATGTGAAATTTCAAGCACTAATCAGAGAAGAATGAGAGAATGAGACCCCCAGCTATTGGGATGGGGAAGGTTGGGGGGATTTGGAGGACTTAGAAAACCCCCAAATCCATTGAGTCTTTAGAAACCCTCCCCACTCACCTGAGGAAGATGCTTCTCCCTTGAAGGAGAAGTGAACAGTGTTCTTGCAGCTCTCCTCATTGTTGCCTGCCCAGTGATGGGGTTTCAGCTTGTACACCGCAAACTAGAGGCAGAAAAGCAGAAACAAAGCAAGGAGAGAGACACCAGAGAAATTGCAGGGGTTCACGAATTTACATCATCAGAAATTTGGAGAACGTGGGAATGGATTTTGAGGGTACTTGGCCAAGAAGGAGGAACACGATTCTGGATCCGATTGAGGTTAGTTATGGAGAAGACGATCCTGGCTTGGGGACTGTGGTCTATGTTCTAACAACTTAGTGGACTGGCTGAAGCCAACTGATGGCATTGAAATGACACAGAAAGGCTAGGAGGCCTTGCATAACACAGAGGACCAGGTTCTAAGACTGTGGGAGACAGGAATGCTGAGTTGGATCCACTCATGTGTACCCACGCCACCCACAGATTCCAACCCCCCCGCCTTGCCACAAGGAATAAGGTGGTGATGGAAGTTCCAGAATCTTTAAAAAGGCTGTCTCTACTGGCTGTCAGGGAATGCTAACAGGAGGGGCTGTGATGGAAGTCTGGTTTCTGAGGGGGTGGAGGAGCATCTGCTGGGAGGTACGGTGGGTCGGGCCTCAGAGTGTAAGGCAGGTGTGGAGCTTGGTTCTCTGGGAGTCCTGTTACCTTCCAGGATCTTGGGCTCTGGGTGATTAACGGGGATCTCCCAGAGTTAAATCAGTAAGCAATCCACCATAGTCGCCCTTGACCTTCAGGGTCAAGAAAGTGAAGAGAGGCCTGTCTTGAGGCAACATGTGAGAGATTCGCACAATTCCCAGACCTGCTTCTTTGGAGTGGGAGGACCACACACCTGAAGGAAGGGAAGACACCTGCCACAATGTCTCAGGGGCCTCCTGTGACTTCTTCCTAGTTTTTTAAAGTTGGACCTTGGGTCATTTCCTCAGATGAAGATGCAGGGGGAAGGTAAATAAATACTTAAACTTTTTTTTAAAAGATTTTATTTATTTATTTGAGATAGAGAGAGAGAGAGCAGGGGCAGGGGGAGGGGCAGAGGGAGAAGCAGACTCCCCGCTGAGCAGGGGACCCTGGGATCATGACCTGAGC